CATGACTTCTTTTTCTTTTCTTCTTTTGCGTATTGGGGATTGAACTTGTGCTTGCCAGGCAAGAGCTTATTCTATTGAGCTATCTCCCTGGCCCTATTCTTTTTAAAAATCTTCTCTATTTCATCTACTTTCATTTTCTGGATATTCTTATATTGGATTATGTGGCACTTCAAAATAACTTTGAATTCTTAAGGCTAACCTGGCTTGAAAGGTGTTTTTGTTTGCTTGTTTGGCGGTTTGTTGTTGTTGTTGTTTGGTACTGGGGATGGAACTCAGGACCTTGTGCTTGCCAGGCAGGCACTTAAGTCAACAAGCTATCTCCCAAGCCCTTGAAAGGTTTTAATATAAGGCATTCTAAAATAAACGTTCAATTTGTTACATAATATGTTTTAGATATTAATTAAAGTTAAAATGTTTACTCTTTGGTCAGGCACTTGTAATCTTTTTGTTGTTATTGTCGTCTTAAAGTACAACTTTTCACAGTAAATATGCAGTCCATTTTAGGGGAGAAAAAAAAGAGTAGCATTGTCTGACTTCATAGAGGATAAAGGATAAAAGGAAAAGAAAAATCACTCAAGTCCACAAGCATGACGACCCTGATCCTGTTTAGCTGGCAAAAGAACTGAAAGTACTGCCATCCGACCTAATTTATGGATTGTTTGTGATACTTCCAACTCCTTCTAAATTGAAATTGTGTCACAATCTCTACAGTAATAAAATATTTTTAAAATTTTCAACAAAAAGATTAATATTCCCTCTCTCTCCATAACACACACCATCTGTTACATTAAACTAAACTTTAGACACCTGAATCGCAGCCAGTCAGAGCTGTCTCGCTTCCTGGCTTGGTTATGCTTGGGAACTTTGGCAGGTGGTGACACAGTCCAGCCCTGGAGGTTTAGGTTTCACTGGTGTGACTGCTCATTGCGGCTGCAGTGTTCACTCTCAGAGTTCCTGGTTGGAATTCAGGAGTTGTCCCTCTGGAATTGTTACAATAGTGATGTGAGCTTATAGACTGAACTTTGAGTGTAGGGCACCGTATAGATAGCTCAGTGACAGTGTGCTTACCTAGCATGCATAAGGCCTTGGGTTCAAGTCCTGAAATAGCAAAACTTAAGTGAGTAGATACATGCTATGAACTTTTGAGGACTGGCCACGTTCCTTCTCTAAAACAAACACATACTTTACGATCCAAATAGTGACATTTATACCAACAAAGTGGTAAATTAGGGTCTGTGTGAGTCCTAAAGGTCACAATGCTACATGAAGCTTGATTCAGGTGTCTAAATTACATCAGGGCTGAGCCTAGTAACACCAACAACTCATTAGCAAGTTGAGTGAGCGGCTACTGTGGACACTATGCAGCAAAGAGGCTGTCAAACAAAACCAAAAGCTAAAGTAGAAACTTTGTGCCATACTTCATTTTAGGAAACTCCACAAGGAATGTGACAGTTCATGACTTTTTGTATTTTCCAAACAGTAAATTGTATCAGAAATAGATGAATGGCCATATTAATATGCTGAGCTGTAAAAGATTCAAGTCAACAACTTCTGACATTGCCAGTCCTACGGATAACCCACTACTATTATAGACTACTGGCCTATATTGGATTATTTTGCTCAATTCACACACCTACAATATTTAAATAATAATAGAATACCCATCTCTGACAGGACTAAATAAAAAAAAGGATACAAATGAAGGACCATTTTGTATCTGTATATACAAAATAGTTAGGATAGATATACAGCTACTTTCCCTTAATTCAATGAGAAGAAAGATTTGTACTAATAGTGTTTGGACAAGATATCATGTCTGCATCTTGTACTATAAATAACCACTACGAAGACAACAATATGCAATGTATTAATTATTGAAACTGCCCTACTCACCTGTTTTGAAACTGTCTCATTGCTATTTGTTTCTCAATAAAGTTAATTAAAAAAAAAGAAATAGAGGGATGGTTCAGAAATAATTACAGCGTAGAGATAAGTGGGAATGTGCCAGAAGGAAAGAAACCCGATGATAGAGGCACTTCATGATGAATCATACGAAAACACAGAGGCCGCTCTGCGATCTGAAGAGCTGGGGAGGTGAGAAGGAAGATGTAAGACAGGGCTGCCCAAACTTTGCTTTTAAGTCAGACCTACCAGTGAGCTCAAACTGAGCCATCAGGACAAGCTGGAACAAGAGCAGAACCATAGGATAACTGCATCTACCTCCAAGCAAACCGAGCTCAGCCTCGTACCCTTCCACGTAGTCTGGAGTTGCTCGCACACAGGCACAACCACACCACCTACCTGCTGTCCGCAGCTT